GGACAGTGGACGCCGCGGGACAGTGGACGCCGCGGGACAGTGGGCGGGTACGGGACAGTGGGTGCAGCGGGACAGTGGACGCCGCGGGACAGTGGGCGGGTACGGGACAGTGGGCGGGTACGGGACAATGGGCGGGTACGGGACAGTGGGCGCCGCGGGACAGTGGGCGCCGCGGGACGGTGGGCGCCGCGGGACGGTGGGCGCCGCGGGACAGTGGGCGCCGCGGGACGGTGGTTGCAGCGGGGCGTCCCAGGCCAGCGGGGGTCTTGGCGCCCCGAGGAGCACCAGGAAGGGCGGGGTCCAGTCACGTGGGCCGGAGGCCAGGGTGGCCGGGGTGGTCTGTGTGGGGCCCGTCAGACCGGTCCGGACACGAGTTCAGGCAGCCGGGCCCCGATTTGGGGAGAACTGGGCGCTGCGGGGCACCCGGCACGCCGGAGGCCGGCGACAGAGGCCCACTGCGCAGGCGCCGGAAGCCCCGCCCGCCGCCCTGCGTGAGCCTTTGGCGCATGCGCCAAGTGGGCAGGGACCGGCCGTGAAAATTTTATTCCCCAGAAGCCTTCGCGCTCTAGGGTTTCCCGAAAGACCCGGTTCGGATGTAACCAATCCTCGGCTTGGGCCTCCCTGGCTCTGAACTGAGGGGCCGAAAAGGCCCAGCTTCGGGGGCGGGGCCTCCTCCCTTATGGGGCGGGGTCTCATCCCTTACGGGGCGGGGTCTCGATGAGTGGGCGGGGCTTGCGGCCTGGTGCGTCCTCGGGCGCGCGCCGGGTGGGTAGGTGAGCAGGGCCTGCGGCGGAGCTGGGCTCCAGCCCTCCCCGGGCCCAGGCTGCCTCAGTTGCCCCACCATCATGCCAGGCCCCGTAAGGGCCCCTCGAGCAGCCCCCGGTCACCCGCACACCGCTCCCTACTGCTCTCTGAGTGACACTAGCCCGAGGCCCCACGGAGGGGCCAAGCCAGACCCTAAGGGCAGGGCCGCTCCTCCAGCCTGGTTTGCCCACGTGGGCTCCGGCACAAGGGGCAGCGTGCCCTCTGGCTCAGCACTCTGCAGGTCCTGTGGCTCTGCCTAGAGCGGGAGCGGTCCGGCCAGTCCAGCGGAGAGCGGGGCTGAAGGAAGCCAGGCTGTGCAGGGCCTGGTGCTGGGTCCGGAGCGGGTCACAGCGAGCAGCAGAGGCCCTCGAAGGCCTGGTCCACTGCCCGGCGGTGACCGGCAAGCCCTGGGTCCTTCCCTCGCCCGCAGGCTCTGCAGGCAGAAGGCGGACCCAGGCGGGCAGAGCAGCCGGGGCTGAGGAAGCGGAGAGGCCCGGCCTGCGCGCTGGTGGGCGAGGCTGCCCGCTGAGTGCCCGGGCCACCCTTCCTCGGGCAGGTGCGGTCCTCAGGGCCGCCTCCGCCCCGCGCGGGGCTGCCAGCCTGTCTTTCGCACACTCCCACCCGGCCCGGCCGTCCGCTGCCTCAGCCTTCTGCCCCGCTCGTGCCCCTTAGGTTCCCAGCGCCCTCTCTGAGCAGCCGCACCGGGCACGGGCGGGGCTGGAGGCCTCGAGGCCTTTCCTGGGGTCGGGGTCGGGGGGCGCCGGTGTGCCCTGGAACCAGCTCCCCTGAGACCCTCCGTGCGGGTCCCCTCCCTCCCGCTCCAGCGTCCGGAGGCCTCCTAGTGTGAGGAAGAGAACGGCCGATTCCCCCACAATTTGGGGAGGCTTGACCAGGACCCAGGGTCAGCCTAGGCAGGAGGGGAGCGGAGAACTGGGGGCGACGCGGGGGTCCTGCCCCCTACGCAGCCCGCGGGCGAGGGCGACTCCAGGAACGGACTGAGGGGCGGCCGGGAGGCTGGCCCCGCCCCGCGGACCCCGCGCGGGTCCCCAGACGGGGGGTGGCGCTGCGGGCGCGGGCGGGCGCCGCGCGCACTGCGGTCCCCGCGCCTCCGCCGCAGAGCGCGCCACGCTCCGCACGCACCTGCCGCCGCCGCCGCGCCGAGCCCCGCGCCCCGCGCCCCGCGCCCGCGCCCCTGGGTGCCGCCCGGGCCTGACCATCGCCCGAGGTCGCCGCAGCTTCGCCGGAGCCGCCGGAGCCCCCCGAGCTGCCGGGCCGAGGCGCAGGCGCCGCGTCCGGGCCTGCCTTTGAGACAACCTCTGCGGCGGCGGCGCGCGGCCGGGACGCCAGGCTGGGGCAGGTGAGCGCAGGGGGCAGGGGGCGGGGGCCGGGGGCGGGGGCTGGGGCCGGGGGCGGACTGGGCGCCCCTCCCCACGCGGCGGGGGTCGGCCCTCGGGAAGGTGCGTCCGGCCTTGGAGGCGGGGATCGGGGAGGGGGCTGGGTTCGGAAGCCCGCGGAGGTCGGGATCCCGCGGCTGAGGTCAGGGTCAGAGGTCGGGCGCTCGGGCCTTTGTGCGGGCAGAGGGCGAGGGTAGGGGGGGCCTGGGCACTATCCTCACGGCGTCTCTCACCTGCAGCTCAGGCCTGGTCCAGGCCTTGCCTCTGCTTCTGCCGCGGAGCCTGCTGCCCGGGTCCTTCTGCAGCCAACGCTCCGGCTAGCTGCCTTCCCTGGGCGCCCTGTCCTGGAGCCATGGGGCCCACCCAGCCCCTGCCTGCCCCGATGTCCCAGCCCGCGGCCTGCTGACCTCGGCTGCCGGGGGAGCCCCCCCCACGCCCCCTCGCCAGCCTCAGCAGCCAGAGACCCTGGGTGAGACCCTGGGCCCGACGCCCAGCCCAGGGCAGCCTCCCACGCCCCCCTGCCCCCGCCTGCCTCCCCCTCCCCCACCCCTTCCTCCTCCTCCCAGGACTGGACCAGGGAAGCCACTGTGGCCAGTGGGGGGGCCCCTGCGCCCCCAACTCTCGCCGGCTGCCCCTAGGAGTCCACGGGCCAGCCGGGGCCCCCCCCAGGTCTGGTGGGACCAGGATGCTGCCCCATCACCTCCCCCTCAGCCCCACACCACGCCGCCACCCACCCGAACACCCAGTCTGACTGGAGACAGCCGGATGCCCTCTGAGCCTGGGCCCGAGGCGGGCAGTGGCTGGCCGGGCCTCCTCATGTCCTGCCTGAAGGGTCCCCATGTCATCCTCAAGATGGAGGCCATGAAGATCGTGCATCCCGAAAAGTTTCCTGAGCTGCCGGCTGCCCCTTGCTTCCCGCCTGCTCCCCGGCCCACCCCCACTCTGGCACCCAAGCGTGCCTGGCCCTCAGACACAGAGATCATTGTCAACCAGGCGTGTGGGGGGGACATGCCTGCCTTGGAAGGGGCGCCCCACACCCCGCCGCTGCCACGGCGGCCACGTAAGGGCAGCGCGGAGCTGGGCTTTCCCCGCGTGGCCCCCGAGGACGAGGTCATTGTCAATCAGTACGTGATTCGGCCTGGCCCCTCGGCCTCGGCAGCTTCTTCGGCAGCAGTAGGTGAGCCCCTGGAGTGCCCCACCTGCGGGCACACGTACAATGTCACCCAGCGGCGGCCCCGCGTGCTGTCCTGCCTGCACTCCGTGTGTGAGCAGTGCCTGCAGATTCTCTATGAGTCGTGCCCCAAATACAAGTTCATCTCCTGCCCCACCTGCCACCGAGAGACTGTGCTCTTCACCGACTACGGCCTGGCCGCGCTGGCTGTCAACACGTCCATCCTGAGCCGCCTGCCGCCTGAGGCGCTGACAGCCCCGTCTGGGGGTCAGTGGGGGGCCGAGCCTGAGGGCAGTTGCTACCAGACCTTCCGGCAGTACTGTGGGGCCGCCTGCACCTGCCACGTGCGGAACCCACTGTCCGCCTGCTCCATCATGTAGTAGCGCCTGCCTGCCCGCCACTGCCCGCTGAGCCTCGATCGACGCTTCTTCAGGGACCCGGCCCTGTCCTGCCGCCCGCTGACCCTTCCTTCCCCACCATGGCTTCCGGCCCCACCCCAAGTGGCACTGTCATTGCAGCCAACTTTGCCATTAAAACTCTTTGCCAAAGTTTGCACCTGTTCCCTGGACTGAAGCTTGCTCCCGTGGGCTGTGCTCAGGCCTGGGCCTAGGGTGGCACCCAGGGCGGCCGCCCGGACAGGGCTCAGCTTGGAGCTGCCAGAGAGAGGCCCAGCACTGCTGGGGTGGGCCTGCTGTGCGTGCTGGGGGCCGGGCTGGGCTGTGCGTGCAGCTCAGGAGGGCTCTGTGGGCTGTGAGCATGGGTGTAGACACCCACAAGTGCAGAGTGGGCTGCTTGTGGGTGCCTGGCAGGGCTAGGTGGTGGGTGTGCAGAGCCACCCCAGCTGGACAGAGGACATTTTCGATGGTGTGGGGGACAAGCCAGTTGATTGCACTCCTGGTGCCTACCTGGCCCTGAGCACCCACCTGGGTCTTCCAGTGTTGTGCGGGAGTAGCCTTTGGGCGTCTGTGCAGGGGTGTGGGACAAATGCTAGCCAAGATGGTGGTGGGGGAATAAGGACCCAGGGCCTCCTGTCTGGCACCTGGACCACCTGGGTGTGAGGAAGAGCCTGCCCCAGGCTGGGGGAGGTGGCTCACGCCTGTAATCCCAGCACTTTGTGAGGCTGAGGCGGGCAGATCACCTGAGGTCAATAGTTCAAGATCAGCCTGACACACATGGTGAAACCCGTCTCTACTAAAAATACAAACAAGTTAAGTGGGCATGGTGGCACATGCCTGTAATCCCAACTGCTAGAGAGGCTGAGGCAGAACTGCTTGGACTCGGGAGGCAGAGGCTGCAGTGAGCAGAGATCATGCCACTGCACTCCAGTGAGGGACAGCGGGGTACTCCGTCTCAAAAAAAAAAAAAAAAAAAGCCCACCTGCACAGTGAGGCTGGGGTAACAAAAACAAGCAGTGACAATGGCGTTCCCAGGAGCCGGTTTATTGGAAGCTGCTTTGCATTGAGCCCAGTGCTCCGTCTCTCACGGTCACCCACAGACCCGATGTCTCCACCCTTTCCACGAAGGCCCCAGGTGTGGCAACGTGAGGGTGTGCAGGGGCAGAGCTGGGGCTGGTGCTTACGTTCTAAGGCCTGGGTGGACCCTTGTCCCTGCAACAGGCCAGTGCTGACCCCCAGTGGGTCTCAGCCTGAGCAGGTGGGGAGAGAAGTCTTGGTAGGCGGAGTTTTCACAGCATAGGCCCCTCCCCCGGCTGGCCTGACCTTCAGGGACATGCACTGGCCCTTATCTGAACACAGAATGGGCGGAACCCCTGTCCTCCCCAAGGAACGGACTGACTGCAGCTCCATTAACCTTCACGTCTGCTGTGCTCGGCCGGCCCTCGGAAGGGGAAGTGTGGCCAGCATCAGCCATGGCCACAGGGCGCCTGTCTACCACCGGGTGCGTGGGGCCTGCTCAAAGACCTTCCTGCGGGGCTGGCTCCTCCAGCAGCTGTCCTTGGGCACCGGCGTCCAGGGCAGCCATGCACTCTGGCAGGGTCAGGCTCCAGGGTGGTCCGTCTTGGGTTCAGCCATGGAGGTCTTGATTGAAGGGCAGTACCCTGGACCCAACCTTGGGTTTTTCAGCCTGGCCTTCAGGTCTCACAGCACCCAGTGGCGATGTGGGCCAGGCTGGGCCCACTGGCGTCAGGGCCATCCTGGGCTCTGCTCAGCTGCCAGAGCCGTCCAGGAGCAGGAAGAGCAGCCCCAGCAGCACCAGCGGCACGAAGACCAGCAGCAGCCCCAGCAGCTCGAGGGCCAGCAGGCTCAGCAGCGCCACGCGGCGGGCACAGGGTCCCCGCTCCCGCAGGGTCCAGAGCCAGGCACCCAGGCAGGGTGGACAGGGCAGGAAGGGCAGGCAGCCGCGGCCACCCACGGGCCCCGCCAGAAAGCGCAGCTGGTAGCGGTGCTCCAGGGAGCCCCAGGGTCCAGGGTCGCGGTGCTGGGGTGCGGGGGCCTCTCGGGGGGGCTGGCGTGGGGGCCCGTCGGCCAGTAGCAGCTCCTCCTGCAGCTGGCAGATCTCCCACTCCAGCATGGGGGTCTTCTGGCGGCACAGTGGGCAGCGCACCCAGCCCAGGTTGGAGCTCGGGGCCGAGCCCAGCAGCCTGCGCAGGCAGCCCACACACAGGCCGTGGCTACAGTTCAGCAGGGCCAGGCGATGCTCCCTGGGTCCATAGGGCTCAGTGCAGATGGGGCACTCTTCTTCCCCCTGCCCTGCTGCCTGCTCTCCCCGCTCCTCCTTCCAGGCTGGAAGGGCCCAGGCACCCTCCATGGCCACAGCCTCCAACAGGGGCTCACTGGCTGGAGTCTCAGCATCTTGGGGGAGCCCAAAGTCATCCCCTTCACCCACTGGTGCTGGGCACAGTGGGTTCAGGCACTCAGGGCCCAGAGAAGCCCCAGGTGGACTGACAGGCCCAGGGTGGGAGTCGGCAAGGTGGAGGCCAGGGACCCCAGGGCACAGCTCAGGGGTGGTGGTCCTGGGGGAGGAGTCAGGATAGGTGGCCAGGGACCCCAGGGTGGCGACAGGTGCAGACCTCCAGGGCAAGCAGGGTCTGGGCTCCACTGGGTCTGGCACTGACCTGGCTGGCTCTCTCACTGGACAGGAACTACACTGGGGCCCCGGCAAGGCTGGCCTGCTGAGTGGATCCTGTGCCCTTGCAGTGCCGTCCCCAGCCAGAGCCGGCTGCAGCCCAGCCTCGGCCACGTCAGTCCCCGCCAGCGACCAGCCGACCACAGATAAGAGACTCCGAGAGGACGGCGAGGCGGTGTGATCAGGACTCCTCCAGCGGACTTCCCTTCCTGGTACCTAAAGCCCCTCCCAGGGGTGGGGCCGTATCCACCACACCCCCTCCCACCACTGCTTCCGGCAGCCTCAGCTCCCAGGCAGGACAGACGGCTTAGCTCTGCCTTCCCAGCACCTGCCCAAAACCGTCCTGACGATCAGATCTCAGCTGACCCACCAAGCCTTTGAGAATGAAGCAGGCAGGGCACTTGTCACGTCAGAGGCAGACAAGAGCTGCCACTAGATACAGGCAGGGCAGCAAGAGTGCACCATGGTGCCCACCTCCCACCCCCCACCCAGGGGACCCGACCAGCGAGAGGAAGGAAGCCTGTGCTAGAAGCAGCCACCCAGAGGCCAGCAGCTCCTGCCAGGGCTTTCCTGGGACCAGGAGAGGAAGGGGCTGCTCTGGCCTGGGACCCCCTACTGCTCTAAGGGAGCTGCTTTTCGTGGTCTGAGCCCAGCCTCAGCCGTGTGGGGGTGGTGACTGCAATGTGCTGCCCAGCAGGCTGCAGTGGCCAAGGTGGCCCCAGGGTGGAGTGCAGTGTGGCCTCATGGGGGCCCTGTGCCACCCCCGGTGCCCAGTGGGCTGCTCACGCCATCTTGGGCCGCTGCACCGGTGAAGTGGAGCAGCCCAGGCCACCACCTTGACCAGGAAGAGGGTGGGGGAGAACGAGGACACAGCTCACAGTCAGGGTGGGGAGGGGAGGGCTGGCTGGCAGAGGCCGCAGGGGAGTCAGGGCTCAAAGGGTGGGACCCAGCGTCAACGAGGGCGTGGCTGTGCTTAGGAGCTGCTGTTGCCCCAACCAGCTGGGACCTGGAAGCACCACCCCTGGTCCGGGAGGACGATGCCCTCCTGGGCTCCCAGGAGGATCACGGGCAGCCAACGGGCTCAGGCCCACGTCTCAGTCTGAAAGCGCCGTGTCCGCTGGAGCCTGGCTAGATAGGCGGCGGCGTCAGAGCTGCAGAGTCCGCCCTCCTCCTGGAAGATGGACACCAGGGCTTCCGAGACATCCGCTGGCATGGACTTGGCGTTGCTAGAGGGGTGGTGGCAGAAGGTGCGTGAGGCTGGGCCTAGGGCTAGGCCCGCTCCCGCCGCACCTGAGACTGCTCACCCTGCCAGGTAGAAGTGTGCACCCTGGCGGTCCAGCAGCTCCCACACCAGCTGCCCCCGCTCCCGGAGCCGGTGCTGCACATACACTTTCTGCTCCTGTAGGGCAGAGGGCAGGGTGGGGCTGAGTGTGAGCCCCTCCCCTCCTTTCCCAGCCCCCGAGCACACACACGCACCTGTTCCCGGGAGAAGGCAGGGACCAGGGTCAGACAGCCTCGCTTCTCCAGCTCCTGCCACTCCGCCTCCCAGTAGAAGTCTTGGTCCCGCCAGCGGCAGCCAAAAAACAAGACATTTCCTAGGGGAACGCAGGGGGGTCCTTGAACTGCTGGAAGCCCCCACCACAACCCTACCCGGGACCCCGGGCACTCACTGGTCCGGTCCTGGGCCACGCGCTCCTGGATGGCTGCTCGGAAGGGGGCTACCCCGGTGCCAGGCCCCACCATAATCACAGGCACGTCTGGCATCTCTGGGAAGGCCAGACTCCCAGGCCGCACCCAGAGAGGAACCCGGACAGGTCCTATGCAGGAGGGAGGTGGTGTGAAGAGACTCAAAGGCGGCTCAGAGTCTGCTGGGGCCCTAGCCCAGCATCTGCGTGGGCATGGGAGAGAAGGGGACACGGGGCCACGGCCCCCACCCCGGGAGCAGGGGTCACCTTGCCCAGGGTCCAGGGATGCCAGCCAGGAGGAGCAGAGGCCCCGGCGGGGCTCCTTGAGGCGAGTCTGGAACTGCACTACAGCCACGAGGATCTGCAGCCTCGAGGGG